CTCATAGAGACAATGGAGAGAGAAAATTGAGACTTCTGCACCAACAGTCTCCTGCTTCTCAGATGTTTCTCCTGAGGAAAACACACTCAGTAACCTCACGTGTCTCATCTGGAGTTGCACAGGAGATCCCAAATGTCTCAATGGTGCTCAGAAGTCAAACATCTCAATATGAACTCAAGCTATATGCTATGCTGTTAGTTTCATAGTTGTGTACTTATTCATGTCTGCTAACAGTTGTCTTATTTGTGTTTTATTTTATCCAAAATAGTTATAGTAGAAGCACCTTGTCACACCCCTGTGGACTGTTGATTGTGGTTTCTCCCTCTGTGTCCTTATTTGGTATAGCCCGTACTAATCATTAGTTAATTACCCTCATTGTGCTCACCTGTCTGCCACTAATAGTCCACCCTTTATTAGTTCCTGTCTGTCTGTGCTTTGGTTGTCGGTTATTGTGAATGTTACCCCGAGTGTGTGTGTGTCTCACCTACCTGAATCTGCCTTGTTGTGTCTACATTAAAAGTCATTATTGGAATCCTTGTCGTCCTCGTCGTCCTGCCTGCCTCCACACACCGTGTCGTGACAATATCGAAAATTAAATGAATAAAATTGTACCTTTTTACATACCTTTTTATATGTGTTTTAAAACCAAGACATGAGTCCAAATGAACCCCTAAGTATTTATATTCCGAAACAACCTGTAATCTCTCTCCTGAAATGAAAATATCTTGTTTTATATCAACACTATGTCCTTTAGAAAAGAACATACTAGCTGCTTTTCTGGAGCTCTTTAGGATGAACAAACAGGTTATTTTATTATGTGTTTCTCAACCAATTATGGGAACACCCTTTTAACCCAAACGTACCAAACAATAACCTCTAACTGATATAGAGCAATGGAAATAAAAGTCAAAATCTGTATTTAACAACACCACTAACTTTAAACAAAATACCAAATAAGGAAGTTAGTCAGTATTTCCCAATAAACAATTACAAGTTTTATTTATTTATTTATTTAGAGGGAGAGAGAGAGAGAGAGAGCAAATGCTGCAAAAAGATTTGAATGGAATATGATTTTAAATATAATATAATAATAATAATAATAATTCCCCAATAGTCTCAGGCAAGGTTCCCAACATGGGGCTTGGTGAAACTTCGCTCAATATATCACAAATAACTCACTAGCCAAATATCGGTGGGCCGGTGACACTTAAGGGGTTAATAATATATGTAGGATACATTATTAACCTCACTTATAATACACATTCATAAAAGTGCAATATGTAACTCTTTATAGACTTTATGTAGCCCTGCCCCTTTTCAGCGCTGCGTTTGCTGTCTTCTATCTTCCCTTCATATTTCCACAGCGTGAAGGTAAAGTCATACGGATTTATGAATAAAATGCTTGTTTTAAAATCTAAAATTAAAAATTTGTTAAGGCATACACAAACATTACAATGCACATGAAAACTTTAGTTAATTCTACAATAAGTAAATCCATTTCAACAGCTAATACGCTTCAACAGTGATCTAGCCTATTCACTGTATTACAGGTTGAACTAAATGGTTTCAGATACTTCATTGCTCTGTCTATGGTTCATTGTTATTGACCATGGACAGTTTATGCTGTCCATATAGATGACAAACCAATGGGCCAGTCTGTTAAAAAAAAAAAAAAAAAACGGCTCACCAGGCCCGCCTTGATATAATGATTGACAGGCTGGGGGCATGATCGGCTCGGAATGCATTTTCAAATCCACATTGACTAGTCTACACTGATCGCAGGGTATTTAATGAAAATGCAATTGAAACGTCTTAAGTGTAAGTGTCAATGCATTTAAGAAAAATAAAAGACATTTAAATCACCATTTTTGCAACCATTTTGCTGCACATTTGGCTCAAATTGCATTTTGAAATTCACACTGCATTTTGCTACAATTATCACGAGGTATCATGATGAAAATGCTCATCTCAAGTGTCCTACCCATAATTCTAAATGCATTTAGGAAAAATGGCATTTAAATG